ACTATATAGGCATTTAAAATTAGCAAAAAGAGTTTTTTTTTTAATATGAAATTTCCGTCTGTAAATAAAATTACAAAAGAGATTAAATATTATGCCAGTATTTAAATAACATTTAAAAATTATATTTAAGATTACAAACGAACTTTTTTTTTTTTTTTTTGTTAAGTTTGGAGCAAGCGATATCACCGGAGGAAAACTAACAAAATTAGGTAGAAATCCAGCAATATAAAATCAAGAAAAAGGCCTAACTTGATAGATTAACCATAATTCAGTGTCTTAAGAGATATTAGTTGACTTGCAGCAATCGTGTAAACCACTCTTTCCAAAAGTGGTCAAAATCCTTTATTTTATTGAAACCACTTGACAAAATCCCTTCTTTTTTTTTCTTTTTTTTTTGGCATAATTAAAATTATTCACGGGACACACAGGGACCAATTAGGAAAACTCGCCAATTCTTATCCGTCAACGACCCAATTTAATAGCTAAAAATTGAATAGGCTTATTGACGGTTTGATTTTTTGCAGAATATTTTAAACCAAATGTTGGAATTCCCCTCGCCCACACCTCCCTCTCCCCTTTTAACTAGGGTTGCATCTTTACGTAATCCTTAAAAATATTTAGGATTAAATATAGGAAAAATTCATATCTAAAAGATCAAATATGATCAATTTTAAAACTAAGAAAAAAGATTTATTATTTCAAAAATCAGATATTACTTAAATTTTATTTATGAAATAATTAATTAAATATATTAAGATTACAATATTATATAAATTATGATTATAGTTATATATTAGACAATTACAACCGTTACAGTTGCAATCACAAATTTTATAGGTCACAACTCATTTCTCGATTACAAATTTATCATATTAATAGGTCACATATTATTCTTTGATCATAAATAACAAATTTGATAAGTCACAACTTTTTCATGATCAGAAATTATTCTGAGGTCACAAATTATCAAATTATTGATCACAACTAAACAATTTTTTAAGTCACACATTATGATTGATCACAAATTATCTATTTCATTAGTCGAATATTATTTATTGATCACACAATAACCAATTTATTAGTCACAATCAATTAAATAATGTGTAACCACGACTTCACCACTATTGCCAGAGCCATCACCAACACCTCATAACAATCAACGGCACCACCATCTCAAACAAACACTCACTACCAAAAACCACCATGAGCACCACCGTGATCATTCAAATGGAAAAACTACCATGACACCGCTACAACCACCAATATGGCACCACCAAAAACCAGGTTAGCTCGCGACCACAACCACTATGGCATCACCACAACCACAATAGCACCACCATGAGCACTACTGTCGCTGCTAGAACCACCACCAATACCCAAAATCATTGCACAACTACACCACAGCAAAATGCCACAACGCCACCAAAAAAAATATCCAAAAAACCGGATCCAAAATTACCATCACCGCTACCTTGCCGCCACCACTCCCACAAGCAACATCAACACCACTACCACACCCCAAGTGGATTCCCCAAAAACCATCACAAAGTAGATCTAATCAGAGCCAGGGATGACGTTGCCATTGCTGAAAACCATGGCGGCATGAAAACCACCCTAAGTTGCTGCATCGTGATGCCGAAGATGATGCTCATGCTCTCAGATCTTCGAGCATGAGGATGATGTCATCGCCGCTTGCTTCATCTATGTTTTGTGAGTGTTTTTAGTACAGCGAACGGGGTACTGAAAAGGGATCAAAAAATGGGTTGGATCCTATCCGCATCCTGCTGCTATCGCGTCGTCGACGTCGTGCTGCGGTCGAGCCATTGGCGTAGTCTTCGACGGTGGTTGCGTCTATTAAAGTAAAAGAAGGGAAAAATTATAGAGATGTGGAGAAAATGGGGATAGGAAGATAATTAAGGATTGGGTGTATGGAAGTAGGGTGGGTATATAGATTAATTTAAATTTAAACTACTATTATTTTATGTATATTAAAAAGTTTAAATTATTATCTGATTTTTAAATAAAAAAAACTTTCAAATTTGATTTTTCAATTGAAATTTTAAAACTCTGGGTAGATGTAATTTCCTCTTAAATATATCTTCTTGATGATAATCGCCACATGCAAGGGGACTCGAGGAGATATACTATTGTATATCATGATTAATTTCTTCAAATAGAATTAAATACATGAAATTGAAGATTTACGACAACAAATATTGGATTGAGAAGAAAAACGGAATGGAGTGGGGAGATATTAAGTTCATGTTATGTGGCAAGAAGAGGAAATTTGATTTCAATAAGATTTGATCAAAATTACAATTCAAATTCAAGTTGATTCAATGAGAACAATAGAAGTCTTCGAATTGGAGAGTCTATTCATTCAATTTGTTCGAGATTTAAAATATAAATATGTACGAGAGGACATTAAGAAAACACGATTTCTTCTAAGATTAAATGATCACAAAAGGCACCCAAGAGTAGATCGTGTAATTAAAGAAGCACACTGGATGGGCGAGCTTCAACTATGTCTCCTGACAACCATTCTCTTATGCATACATGACCTTGTACTCAATATAAGATGCAAAATCTTAACTACTACATTTTCGTTATCTCTATTACAATTTATTTACATTAAAAGCCGTTTCCCCTTATTTAACCTCTATGAACAATTCGTACATCTTGGAAAAAAATATGATATTGTAACGAGTATTTCTTCAACTTACCTTTAATTATTGTTAGACTTAAAAGACATCCAATACCAAAGATGGTATTTGTCCACAAAAAAAAAAAAGGGCATTGGGGGTCAATATCTAATTAGCAATGATAACCAATGGAGAAAAGAAAATGAAAGAGTAGGTCCACCTTACCTCTCAACTCCATTAGTACACTTCATCCAAGCAAAACAAATAACATCCTTGGCAAAACTCCTCTATAATTTGTCTAATACTCAAAAATCAATCTCATTGAAAAAAATATTTTCTCTAGTTTAAAAAATGTGCACAATACATAGTTTTTTATTTTATAGGTTAGTTTTTTATTTTATAGGTTGAAAAGGGTTGATTATCTTATGTGAATCTTCTTAAAGATTGACAAGAATTATCCAAATGCAAAACTGGGCTAAAGACATGCAAAGGTTTGAATTAATATTTTGGCGAATGTCAATTATGTTTCTAAGGCCATAATTAACAATTTTGAACTAGTATTAGGTGATAGTAGGAGAAGTCATAAACCGTGACATGTCAAGTTTAAATGGTCATTTTTGTAAAATAAGACATCCCACTACTACAAAAAGACAAGTAGAAAATCCAAGGAGTGGATGAGTATGACCTATTTCTCTTTGGCACAAAGAATTTGACCTTTGTGTCAACCACGATATCTTAAGAAAATGAACCAAGCCCAAAAAAGTAATAAAAACGTCAAATATCAAAAGATAGATGTTAAGTTGAAGTGGGATTAAAACGATTGTAAAAAATTTAACTTCTTCTTCCTCTCCTTTTAAATAGAACTAAGAAAAAACTGATAAATTTAGGTATATTTCACTAATTTTCAGGTAGACGGACTGATTCTTTGAATTTTATATCGACTTTTAAATTTTGACTTTTGCTCAGTAATGGAGGTTCGAACTTGAGGTTCAATATGATTCTTGCAACACCGTTGAACCTTGAATTAACCAGAAATCAAAACAAGCACACCATACGATTTGATTAAACATAATCTCAATAAATTTACTAGCTTCTTGTTCATCATATCCTAAACCTATCGAAAAAAATATAAAAATATGTTAAGTTATTTGTATTTTGAAACGAGTCTAAAGAGTATCATAGCACATAAATTATAATGTTAGTTAATTACATTTTGCACAAGTCAAATGCAGCAATTTATGGGATGAAATTATGGACTGACCTAAGGCCATCACCAACATCACATTTCCAATGAAAATGTGAACGTGACCTAACTTACTTTTGAAATATTTGACACACAAGTCAAAGCCAATTAGCCTTTTTTGTTCTTTTTCTTCAATTTTCTTTAAGTTGACCTACGTGCATATATTTATTCGAGTCTTAAATTTCTTGAAGTTGAAGATTTACATACTAGATGAGTCCAAATACAATGATTTCTTACTCTTGTTGACGTTAAAAATTGTTGAAATTTCTATAGCAATGCAAATTACTTTGACCTAATGGAAAAAAAATTGTTGAAATTATTTTTACAAGCCAATTTTCGACCAAATGATGTGTTTTGTCGTTTTTCTTCAACAACTTTTTCATTGCCTTTCATCATTTGGTAAAAGAATTTCATAGCTCAAGAATAAGTAGGGATTAAAACCTTATAGAAAAAGTTGGTAGTGAATTAAGTAAAATTGAAAACCGGCACAACGGTTAAATAAAAGTAAGCTAGATGACTCTTTTGACACAAATTGAATTTCAGTGGCTTACATGACACATAAGTTGGTGATATTCTAGGGAAATTTGCTATTATTTTTCGCAATTGAACATTTGGTAGACCTTTTCAAGCTTAAAAGCTATTTAAACATCATTTTGACTCCAATATTATACAGGATTTATACATTTCATATGATCAACTATAATATGCAAAAAGCTCTACAGATCTATTGATCTACTTATCAAGAAATGAGCTTAATATGGTAACATTGCCCTTGTAACGATCAAGACTGATAAGTCCATTGGTCTGTATAGTTGTCGATGCACCATTAATGGTCTTTACTTATTTAGGTGGAACTTCAAATTGAGGAGTTGATTCTCAAAAAGAGAGGAGCCGTGGTGGTCCTTTCGGACCGTCGGATCCCACAGGTTAATCGAAAGTTGGAATTTTATTCGATCTCACCTGATATTTATGCCAAAACTAATCAAATTTATTTTACTATTCAATATGTTCTTTGGTCTGCCTAATCTACTAATAATAATAACATATAGAGGTGAATCAGATTCCGGAGTTTAATTAACTCACCTGTTCGTATGTACCCTCCACATATTGTCTCTATATATGTACACACATACACACGCAACATTAAGCATAGATTCACTTCCTATAAACCAGTCACAAAGAGCACAAATCATCTCTAAAAGCAAAAAGCAGAAAAAAAAAAAATACAAAACTATTGGAATTGGAAAGGAAAGTTTTTTAGGAACTTGAATAACAAGTGACCATGGCAGAAGAATTAATCCAGGATGGCGTTTGTGGCGGAAACTGGTGGAACCCAGCCAGAAGTTTATTCGGTTCTTCTCCCTGTTCGTCCACCACCAACGACAAGGGAAGCTTTGGATCGCTAAATGATGAACTGGTGAACGATTTGAAGAAAACATGGTGCAGTGATGAGTCTAATTCTAATTCTGAAGGAAAAAAGTCTCAGCAGCCAGTTATTGATTCAACCCTACAAATGATGGGAATCAGCTTTTCATCATCCACAGTGACTGATCATTGGAATCGAGATTTTCTGTAAGAATTTTCTGTTTTACTTATTTGTTGATCTATGTGATTCTTGAACATATGTGCTGCTGATTCGTTTATCTGTCTCGTCTAAAAGCTTATCAGAGCCAACAAAGATACAGCATAAGCTTTAGAAAAGAGGTTTAACATAATCAACAAGCTTGATTATCCAAATAATCATGCCAGGAATAAGTTGCTTGCTCCATATAGATTTTCTTAGGTCAGGTAGATTTAAGAAATTCCTTTTTTTTTTTTTTTTTTTTTTTTTTTTTGCAGCCAAGGAAATGGAATATCTGAGGGAAATTATTCTAAAAAAAAATAAAAATTAATTTTTTTTCTTTTTTTGGTGTTTTGAGGTGGTGTTGTGGTGATTCTGGAAATTTTAAAAAATTTTTTTTTTTTTTTTTTTTTTTTTGTCATCTTGCAGCCAAGGAAATGGAATATCTGAGGGAAATTATTCTCACATAAAGCAAGTAAACCGGGATTCAGGCATGAATTATCAGCAACAAACTGGAATTGACAGTTCACATATTAATCAAATGGATTGGAACTTAAAGAATTTCTCCACTGCTGCCCAAAATTCCTCCTTTCCATTGAATTCAGCTTCGGATAGCGACACTTCATCATTTTTGCAAACTTTATATGATACATATTCTGATCGGCCACAACAACTTTTATCAGATAATGCTCAGGCAATGAACTTTTCATCGGCCATCAATTACCCGGTGAAGTCGAATGAATTTTCGCTTTCTTTGCCAAAACAGCAACCTGGTAGTCATTTACAGTTCTCAAACAACTCACCCTTTTCGGATGCCCTCAACGACAATCGACCAAGCCTTTTCCCTCCGACACAAGCCCGGTTCCCATCATCTCTTAACCCGTCGGGGTCGGAAGCAATGGAAACTAGCATTGAACCAGCATTCAAGCGTTCCCGAATCGAAACACCATCACCATTACCAACCTTTAAGGTACAATATTTCTGATCAATCTTTTGAATAAAGATAGTTGTAATTTATGCATTTTCGTTATTAATTTTTGCAAAAGAAAAATAATTTTTTAGCTTTTATCAGGTCAGGAAAGAGAAGTTGGGGGACCGAATAACTGCCCTCCAGCAGTTGGTTTCACCTTTTGGAAAGGTAAAAGTTCAGATTTTTTTCTCAGCTTTTTCCACAAGCTTTTGTATGTTTTAACTGTGTAATTTTGTTTTACTCTTCCAGACCGATACTGCATCAGTTCTCCAGGAAGCAATTGAATACATAAGATTTCTCCATAATCAAGTCAGTGCATGTTCTCATTATCTCATTAGTCTTGACTTTCCATTGAAACTATAAGGTTGTGTTTGATTACATTTATTTTTCATGGAAAATATCAGTTTTCCATCCAAATTTTCACTTGGAGTGTTTGATTGCTATTTTTTTCTATGGAAAACATTTTCCAACTTTTGAAAATATGCCTAATTTTCCTTGTTTTTAAGGAAAATATTTTCCTTGGGTAGAGGTGGTTTTTATTTTCCACAAAATATGAAAAATATTTTCTTTTCTAGGTAATATTTTCCATGTCAATCAAACACACTCTAAATGATGATTTACAAAAATATAAGAAACTCATTATATATTTTTGAGTTTTGATGTATTATTATTATTATTTTTTTTTTCAGGTATTAAGTACTGCTTATACGAAAAATGGATATCTCGTTCATTGTCAAGAGGTAATACTTGTGCACGTTATGGTATATTAAACAAAATTTAAACTTCTTTTTCTTCAATAATAATATCAATCTTCTTTACCCAAAATGGCAAAAGGAGATCATTATTTATTATTATTTTCGAGTACCATATGGTTTACCTCACCTGTCATATTTTGTATTCAGGCTGCTGATAAATTTAAGAATGAAGAATGGCCAAAACAAGACCTGAAGAGCCGGGGACTTTGCCTGGTTCCAGTATTAAGAACCTTTCCGGTGGCTACAGAGATTGCATCTGATTTTTGGAACCCTACATTTGGAGGAACAATCGGCTAGAAAAGAATATTAAGGGAAAAGAACCCAAAAAAAAAGTTTGGAACTCAGAAAAAAATGCAAATAAGAGCCATCGTTGCCTTCTGCAAAGATTGTGGAAAAGCAAGAAAAATGAGAACACAAAGGAAGTTCAGGCAATTCTTGGCCATTATGTAGGTTAGAAAATGACAGTATAAGATTTGCACTAATAAATTCTCTTTGTATTGTGTGTAGTTAGTTATGGCACGTTTAGTGTTAAAAAAAAAAAAAAGTTAAATTTTATTCATTAGACAGTTGTATCGAATATTATGTACCGAACTCACGCAAAAAATAAAAAGTTTCGATTACCCAAACTCACGAGTCTTTATAAAATCAATGAGCTTTTGAAGTGATACAGCATCTTTTGCACTTCCATTGCAGCATAAACAAGCATTAAGGTGTGGGATTACTAAAACAGGAAAAGTTGTTGAATTTAACTGTGTTTTAAATTAGTTTAGTAAATAAGGGGTTTTATTATATACCTAATTATGGATTAAGCCAAGTATTTTATGTAGGGTTGATCGTGTACCTTTAATTTATGCAAAAGAATATGAAATCAATGTAAAGATTATAAATAAAGGCATTACTATTGAATTCAAGAACATAAAGAATTGAGAATGTGTGGAGTTCATTTGATTGATGAAACTTTTAATTTGTTTAATAGTTTAAAATGTTGTAGTGGAAGTCGCATAATATACTGCTTTCATGCTTTGTAGGGTTTCCTATAATTGAGATGGGGTATGAATTTTGGTGTCATTTATATATATAAAAATTTTAAACTAATGATCTCAATTAAAATTTTGATGCATTTTAAAAGATTATATATTCTAATAAATTCCGTGAATTTAAATAGATTTTCACAATTTTCATAAGGATCTCATTAAAAATGATGAAATTTTAAGAGATTTTGTTATATATATTTTTAATCTTGAAATCCACATAATATCTAAATTTTAAAGAATTTAATTGAAATTCATCAATTGAAAAAACTTAAATTTAGAAAGATTTTTAAAATCTATCAAAATCACAGTTGAGAACACTTTAATATAATGATTCTCACATAGTGTGCCATGTATAATTCCCTTAAAATAAAATTATTAATAAATTTGATATCTAGAATTATATTCTACTAAGTGATTAAATTTGGAAACGTGTCACGTACTACATATTCCCTAATATAAATGACAAATCGATAATTTCTTCCAACATCTCAAGGTTTACTTACCATAGAGAAATATTGTTTCAAACAATTCGTTATATTGCCAAAAACAATTTGTGTATTTTCTATCTTTTAAACAATACCCACCCACCCACCCCCCCAAAAAAAAAAATCTCGATAGTTATCATATTTTATAATATTAGTCATTATTATTTTGGGAGCGGTCAATGGCCAATATTTTTGAAAAAGTATTTGTAAATTTGTATCAAAATAATCTAACGGTGTAGATTTATTTATTTATTTCTAAAGAAAAACCTAATCATATTTACCATACCGTCGCCTCCTTAATAATAAAAGGGCGTTTCTCCGACAAACGGGAGGACAAATCCCCCTAAATTCGATGTAGCACGGGTATATAATCCCCCTTAATTCGCCGAGTTGGGGAGACTTTAACCGGGAATTTAGGGGGAATTTCTCCCGTCTTGTTTTTCAGTTTAACAGGGAGTGATTTCCCTCGCTAATAATCGAGGGGCATTTTCCCCCCTTCCCTTGATTAAGGAGACGGTGGTGGGGTGAAGGAGATGACAGATTTTTGTTTTCATTTTAATTATTTCTGTTTTGTTAAGTTAGATTTATATCCTTAAATTAAGATTATTTGTGAAATACCTTTGTCAAAAATATTTGTCCATTGAATACTCCACTATTATTTTAGTTAGGAATTTTGCAGTTGAAAATTGTCATATAAATAAATTATCTTTACATCATATGAAATTTAAAAAAAAAAAAAAAACACTTTTTTTACTATAGAAATGCAAAATTAGCATGGAAAAATATCTCTGTGTACAAATAAATATATAACATCAAAAGTCCAAATAAATAAAGTTACATGAGTATTGGTCATTAAAAGAAAGAACAAATTGATCTAAACAATCCAAGAAATATTTTAACTACAAATTAGGTCCTGTGCATCCTCCTCTTAATGAAGGAGGGCCTCTTTATTTTCTTAAGGATTACGAGTTTGTCTTTCAAATTAATTCGAGATCGTTGTTGTTATTATGCACGACATAAGACATCAAAATTTCACTAGTATTTGAACTAGAAAGCAAGATATGGAAGTCTAAGTGCCAATTGCACTATGCGACAAGTATTTGAAAATTATGTTACACTCCCAATTGATCCATCCTAGTAAAAGGTGGCTCCGGTTGAACACAACAAAAAGGAAAAGGAAAAGAAAAAGGTCTCCCTTCGACGATCGAATAAAATATTTCTTTTAAAAACTACCGAAAATATACTTGTGAAGTAACATGTAACAAAATCTAATACTTTCTGTTATTTTTCCCTTATCAGAATAGAATAGTTCTATGTATGCATGATGTATGTCTCCTTTAGAATCTCTTTTTCAAAAAAAAAAAATTAATCTAAACCCATAATTAAAATAATGATTGTTTTTGTAGAATACATACTATGCTGAATGAATAAAGTGATTGGAGTTTGAGAATCACTTTTGAAGGTCGAGGAAAATGTTTTTAGCATATCAATAGTCAACTGACTTCATGGGGGAAAACATGCATGTTTTGTATACGTTAATATCGGCAAGAATAAGGAGGGGGAAAAAAACTCTTAAATCTTGTTTGTTGACTCGTACAGACATATACAGTGCAATTCCAATATTTGAGAGCGATTTGATGAATCATTTTTCGTCTACGAAGAAATTATCTGATCATCTCAATTGAACCTTAAACACAAAGAATCCAAATAACAAGTGACAATATATAAAAAGATAAGTTAGGATCGAACTTTTTGAGAGCGAATTTCAAACTTTCTCTTGAAAATATGTTTGGCATCTGCTTTACAAACTCTCTGTGACTTGAATTCAAAAGTTGATGGGAATTATACCATACCTTCCATCATCAAGGACAAGTCAGGATCGAAGAATTCAATTCTTACGTATTTTTCTAAAGATGAGAAACACGAAGGACTACTCAAAAGGAAAAGCATCTTGGCATACACAAGTTTGACATCCAGAATTGCTTTTGCTGTTTTGGCTAATCATAGTGAACTCTTTATTTGTCTTCTGAGACAAGTTTAATTTTCAATTAAAAGGGTTCTCAGTTTATACAACTTTGAATTTTATAGTGCAAGTAATTTATGTGACTACTGACCTTATCATCGATCAAACCCGACATAAAGTTGATTAGTGAAATAGTCGGTGGCCATCGTCATACATTTTGGCAGGGGAATGTCACCGACTGAGCTATTTGTTGGTAATTTTTTACTACCTTATACAACAAATCACTAGCTGCCACATGTATGTCACGTAGGACGACTGCGGTAGTGAGCGAATGCAAATCATATTATTTTTTTCTTATTTTTTTATAAAACCGCGTTACTGATTTTAAGAGTAACATCACAATTTCGTAATAAATAACTTGGTCATTTTCATCTTTGACAAAAAGAAAAGAAAAATTATTTTAGAACTTAATAATTAAAAAATTTAAGCTAAAGCCAAATATGCACTATCTGTATGTACTTCAAAGTTCAAACCAGAGGAAGATAACAATTCAACGGTGCATTTTCATACTATCACAATTTGAGTTTTTGGACATCAATCACTAATGAAACAAAATCATTTTCGGGTTGGATAATTATTGACTAAATATAGCTAATTGTTCGATCACTAAACTGAATTTGTTAAATGCTAACTCAAAAAATAATATATGCAAATAGTGAATTAGTTAATTGGCATATGATCAAAAAACCAAACGAAAAGAACATTGAGATAATGATATGAAAAAAAAATACAAACAAGTGACATTGATAGGAAATGTCATGAAAAGTGAGAATGAGATTGAAATGCTATCTCACAAGTTGCGTGAGTTTATAAGACGTAGCAAAGACTTATATGAAAGAATAAAATCTCACAAAATTCTGAAACATGTTGATTCGCTCATAAATGTCAAGAGACAATATTTGGGGAAAAATAACTTCTCTCAAATTTTATTATATTCAAAAGCAACTAAAGTCATTAAGGCTTACAATCTATATTTAAAGAAATAATTAAAAGCTGGATAATGACTAAATTAAATTCCTAGATAACGACTAGATTTAAATAAAATTAAATTCTAATTTAATTAAAATACCAAAATTATCCCCAAAACACGTTTTCGGAGCCCTAAATGATATAAATTGGTTGAAACGAGGTGAAGCACTGCATTTTGTTCATTGGACCATATTATTAAATTCGTCCCCGTGGTTTATCCAGAAAAATCATCGGTCAACAGGTCAATGATCCAATTGGTGGGTTGGCGGTTCAAGCGTGGGTTATTGTTAAACTTTAATTTTAATTATATTATTTTTTTGAAATAAAAGGAAAACCATTTTTCGAAATGTGTGTGTGTGTGTGTGTGTGTGTGAGTGAGTGATATTAAGGACCATCGTCACTTGTCATATGGTCATGGAGGTAAATTGTCTCCTTTGTTGACAGGGTTTAAATCAAAGCTCTAGCAAATTTTATTTTAAAGTAAAATTTTTCTTCAATTTAGTAATCATCCGGTTCAAACATTGAACCGGATCCAATTCCACTTAAAATCGTCCGAACCTGCTTTAATCGGTTTCTAATCGATTCATACACTTAATTGATTAATTAAATCACCCGGACCAAACGAATATTAGGTTCGGCAGTTCCTGATCTGAATCGGTTAGTTTGGTCCGATCCGATTTTAATAACTATGCATTGGACCATTTTGACTCAAAATAGACACCATTTTTAAAAAACGAACACCCTGAAAAAATACTTCTTTCAAACTCAAATTCACTTTTCAATGAAATCTTCTTCTTTTTGTATTGCATCATTATAGCTCTTCGGCGCTCTTCTAAACTGCTAGTTATCTCTTCAATTTGTTCTCCAAAAACCCTTCATGCTATATATGCAAATCCATGTGCAAATGTTCGACAAAAAACATTCTTTGTAATGGTCTGAGGAAGCCATATTTGATTATTCATACACTTAGTAAACTTAAATGTTAGTTGCTGAGTTAATAATACAAATAGTCATTGTACTTCGTCAAAAGTTTTCAAGAGGTCACTGAACTTTGCCTAAAGTTTCCAGGAGGTCATCGAATTTCAAAATTTTCCTAAATAGTCACGGAACTTTGTAAAAAGTTCATAGGGGTCACTCAACTTTGCAAATTGGGACTCCATACATCATTGGTTTAGTGATTCCCTAAGAAATTTTCGCAAAGTTTAGTGACCATTAGTATTTAGGGAAGTTTTGAAATTTGGTGACTTCCTGATAATTTTTGGTAAAGTTCAGTGACTATTTAGGGAAATTTTGAAATTCGGTGACTTCCTGAGAACTTTTGAAAAAGTTTAGTGACTATTTGGGGAATTAACTCGTTAGTTGCTTGAATTTGAACTTCCCCTTCGTTATTGGCAATTTAGTAGCATAAGGCAAACGATATTTTTTTAGTCAACTGACAGCTATTTGGACAGATTTCATCCATCTGTCCTCCAACCAAACACACTTGAAAGGTTTGGAATTACAGGTGCGATAAATGAATAATCAGGATAAAAGTTGCAAAGATTTCAAAGGTTTGAAACTGTGACTGCAATTATTCCAAATAATTATAATGGACAAGATTTTACTTTTTTTATTAAATATTGATTAGTCCTATGTCATCTCTTATCAAAACAAGCCACAGTTTTTGATCACGTATAATGCTACTACTAATCCAATTAAATAATCGAGATAATCCGTAAAAGAGATTATAGCTCGTTCATGACATATCGGTTATGAGAATCAGATAATATTGAACAACACTAGAGAAGAAAAATTGATCAAAAAGTATTTAAAATTTTACCAATACGTACGTCAAATACTGTATGCCAATCCTGTGAAAAAATTCAAAACCCATGAGAAAAATATAGATAATATGAGATTATAGAAATATATAATATATTCTTTGGTTGCCATTGGATTCAAGAGTCCAAATCTAAAAATGTTGACAAGAGAACAGAGGGAGAGAGAAATTTATGAGCCACCATATACATATAATAGTCAGTGCTGGAGGCTGCGTTGACCATGTGCTAATTGTGACATAATGTCCATAGTTGCCTTCGCAATCATTACTTATTTTGCAAAAATAATTATTTTACAAATAATTTAGTTCCGTCGGACTACCATTATTTTCAAACTTTTTTCAATATGCTTATTTTTCACCATACATTCACATAATAAAATATTTTATACGTAACTCCAAAATTTTTTCCTACTTTTTAATCATAAATTCTTCTAAAAATCACTATTCCAAACATTATTTTTTGAAAATAATGGCCGCCAAATAGGGACTTAATTAGCTTGTGTTGTTTATGTCACGTTTATCATCATTATCATAATTATTAAATATTTTGTGTTCATCTGTATATATATGTTCAAAGTGAAAGCAAAGTGGTCGTGGAAAAATTTTCTACTTACGGCAGCTTAAAATTTCAGAGTGAAAACAAAGTGAATTTTGACCCAATCACTTAGTGGTACGAAATAGTTTTGAGAAAAAGAGAAGAATATGCTACATCGAATCGGCATGACGTGTAGAAACAACTTGAGTAAGACTTAGGCCAAACTATCGTGCATCAATGATTTTCACCTATGTTGCTCGAATCATGTCAAAGGTATATGTATACCCTTATTTATTCAAAGGTGGAAAAAATTTTAATTATGTGGGATTTGAATGAGATGTACATCACTATTTTTAGTGACGATTATTTAAAATTTATTGCGATACTGATTTACAAAACGATTATTAATTGAAATGACAAATCTTCAAAGTCCAAGCCATATAGGCTGGCGAGATTAGAAAATTTAAATATTTGTTAGTCTAAATCAAGCATTTGCAACAATTAATTTCTAAATTATTTAGGGGGTGTCCTCAATTGAGATTTGTGATAGATTTTAAAAGTTATTCTAGATTTAGACGTCTTCAATTGAGATTTTAATGAAATCCTTTAAAATTTAAGTATCCTCAATAATTAATGGATTTATAAAGATTTCATTAGTAGAAGAATTTTAAAAGATTTGAATAGATTTCAAGCTCAAAAATACATTTAACAAATCTTATGAAATTTCATCATATTTGATGAGATTCTTATAAAATTTGTAAGAATTTATTCAAATCAACGAAATTCATTAGAACTCATAATCCTATAAAATTCATTGAAATCTTAGTTGAGAACATCCCCATCAGACTAGTTCTTAGCCCTTAGGTGAGCCAATAAGCATGGAATTTCCAAACTTGACAGTGAAAAATGGTGCAAATTGCTTAATAATGCTGTATTAATTTTAAAAAATAAAAAATACATGGAACCCGCATCCTACCATATTATTTTAAGATTCAATTAAGAGGAGTAGTTGGGCTCATAAAACAATTGAATTAAAAAAAAAAGGTTCCTGCATTAACTCCTAATTATTGGATAGTCAAAATCATTAATTTGGATAAAAAGATTTGAGAATATTGAGAATGTAAGAACGAAGTTTGTACTTTTAAAGTAGAATTGTGTTATGTGTACACAATGGTGTACACAAAGCATTACACTCCTTTCACATGGAAGGGGGTCTACAAACAATAAAATATTCATAAGCCTTCTCCTTGTGAAGGAGGTGTTATCTATTGTGTACACTTTATGGTGTATACATAGAATAATCCTTTCAAAAATTATTTAAGTTTAAACTACCAAATTTGGTACAAAATCGAAATGTTTTGATTTCCTATGTAAACCACATTCCATGGCAAATGTTCATCCAAAAAAATCTAAACTAATCAAATTATTGAAACCCTCAAACGTAAAAACCAACCGAAAAAGTTGGTAAACTCGTATCAACATAAAATAAAAGGAAAAAAATAAGAAAAATATAAACAATTTATCTACCAAGAATGACACTAATAGTTACATTGTTCGAAGATACAACATCATGATTTCCATTCCACATATCTGCATTCTTAATCCCAGAATGTCTCATTGAAGTAAAAGTAGGTTGTCTTGGCAGAGGCAAAGTTGCATTCTCACTCTCCAACATCAATACAACGGCCGGCATGTTTGGTCTGTGATTCGCCATGTCTTGAATACACAGCATCCCTACGTGTATGCATCGAAGCACTTCTTTTTGGCTACAAAAGTTTATGAGGGAAGGATCAACTAGCTCAATTGCTCGGCCACCATCCCAAAGATCCCATGCCTACAACGGGAAAAATTGGATAGGTTATGATGATTCATATACGTAAATAATGGTTAGAAGTGAGACTTCAATAAGCATACATATTCAATAATGTTCGAGTGATCAGATGAGCGAAAGCTAGTGTTCCTTCGGCCAGATACTATCTCTAATAGCAATACCCCGAAGCTGTAAACATCCGACTTCACAGAAAAGAGGCCTTCCATTGCATATTCAGGCGCCATGTAACCACTGCATCGTACAAAATTTTAGTTGATACATACTCTCTCTACAAAAGCAAAAAATATATTTCCATATGCAAGACTATTATTACTTACTATGTGCCCACAACCCTGTTTGTATTCGCTTCATTTTGGTTCCCTCCGAAAATTCTGGCCATGCCAAAATCCGAAATCTTTGGGTTCATTTCTTCATCCAATAAAATGTTGCTAGCTTTTAGATCCCTATGTATTATTCGAAGTCTTGAATCTCGATGCAGATACAGAATCCCTCTTGCAATACCTTCAATAATGGCAAAGCGTTTCCTCCAGTCAATCTGGGCTTTCTTAGCAGGATCTGCAATATGTTTGACAATGTAAGCCTAAATGAACATTCTGTACTAAACTAAGCAGTTTTTAACAATTCATTCTTAAAATTTAGAAATGAAAAAATAAAAAGCTAACCAAAAAGAAATGAATCCAAGCTTTTGTTAGGCATGTACTCGTAAATTATCATTTTTTCTTCTACTTGGATGCAGCAGCCCAAAAGTCTAACAAGATTTCTGTGTTGTAGTTTAGCCATTAGTGTAATTTCATTCTTGAATTCCTCTAAACCTTGACTAGATTTTATGGAGAGCCTCTTTACAGCGATTTCTTGATTCCCCGGCAGCGTACCCTGAAGATAAAAAGTTAGACTTAGCTTTATACAGTTAGACAAAGAAGAAAATGTCAATTCCTCGCCTGCTGACGTGAAGTTACCTTGTAAACATGTCCAAATCCTCCTTGTCCGAGTTTATTCTCATCCGAGAAGTTGTTTGTAGCCGCTGCCAGACACGAGAAGTTGAACAACGCTAATTCAGCACTAGTTCCTGGCTGCCCTTCAACACTAAGGTCAACAGGTCCTGAAAATTCGCTGGAAAATTCCCCACTTGGACTGACTTTAGGCATTTCATTTTTCGTCTGGTTTAAACGATCTATAGTTAAACACGAGCGTTAGAAGTGTACAGCTCTATGGTTAAGCTTAAGCCCGTACTAGGAACTTCATACTTTCTAGCAGAATTTTACCTCCAAATTTCAATTTGCGCATGCATAGCCAGATCGAAGCACTTAGACAGATGATCCCAACCAAAACAACTGCTACAATAACAATTTTCGTCACCTTACTTTTGCCACCTGTTTTAAGATAAAATCATAAACCAAACAACTACTTAACATTTCCTCAAAAATTAGAAGCGCTAGAAAGAAAAATTCATGAATTTCGTTGGTTTGTTAAGGTAATCGTGTTTGTAAGAAGATCGACTATCTACGAACTTATCTAGACAGTTCTGTCTCTGTGCTTAACTTTTTACTTATAGGTTATCCACTGAAGTTAAAAGAAAGGTATAATAACAGACGGAGAGGCTCTACCCATCGTACCAAAGAAAATTGAAATTAAGACTTAAGAAATGCCAAAATTAAGTTAATTCAAACGCAAATCTAATGCAGGCATTTATAGTGAGAATCTTCTAGTTAAAATAAGGGGAATGCTATCAGAAAGAAAATTGGGAAACTACTAAAACACAGAAAACAAAATCTCTATAACATTCTCAATCGACATAGAGAATGCTAGAATGACGGACCGGATAAGATTGGACATGATAATTTCCGGCCTAGTGTACAATGCACACTACAAAAAATAATCGTACCTAATTCAGAACGGTCAAGACGAACGAACAGAGTGCTTCCACCTTCTGCAAATTGTTCAATGTCAACCAATTCCCGACTCCATATCATGCAGTTTATGCCACTAACAAAAGCATATGCAGTGCAAGAACAATTCTCCAAACACTTATTTTCACACTGCTTAACATCTTCTGATCCCACATAATCCACAAAATCGGGCAATTTCACTCGTTCGGCCTTGAAAAAACCATCCCTTTTGACCTCAGATAAACACTCCAACTTTTTCCTCCTTGTGCATCCACCTGACCAATTCCCTCTACTCCATTGATCCAAATTTTGGGGTACAAACCCTTGAATACAACTACAAGCTGGCCTATTCTTCATATCACATTTTCCAAAAGGTCCACATTTGTTGTACTGATCACATTCTTCATCGACAGGGTGTGATTGTATCAAATCCCATTTATCGAGCCCTGCGTTCCATCTTTCTTGCCTTTCGGTTCCATCCCATCTAATCCAAAACCTGATCAAATCAGTACTATTTGAGGGAGTATAGGTAAAGTACAACCTTCCATCACCCTCAGTGTTTAGCTTAAATCCATACAAATATATAGCCCTCATCCCAGGAACACCAACAAATATTAGTCCATTCCAATTCCCACTTCTCCATTTCCGACTCCTCCCTTCCCATATCACAATCTGAGGCGATCCACGAGGATCAATGCCTAACGAGTACTTTCCAGCTCTCGGATCACTAGCACTTCTCCACGAAGTGAAAACGTGCCTCTCTACTTCACTGACATTCATGTAAACTCGCATACTGGGTAAAAATGTATCCGTTGAATGATCGAAACTCTTCCATGAAGCCTTGTTTGGATCACCACTCCCAAACAGAACAAGATTGCCGGTATCCATTAAAACAGCAGTGGAATTATCTGATGCAACTGTGGCATTGGTAGACCAAATCATATCACCATTCTCATTCGAAATGATCAAATTTCCATCATTCCCAATTCTTAAATCTCCACCGTTGCCACTGATGGGATTTTCTCTATTTGCAACCCACACCACAGATTGATTTTCAACTTTATTGTACCAGATTCCAACATACCTAAAATCAGAACCCACAGGACTAAAGAATCCCAATACAAATCTCTCTTCTTTTGATATAATTTCTTCTCCATCTCTTACCGACTGACCTGTTGTAATTCGATTTTCAGCAGAAATAAATACAGAAACTACGTGAAAATTGATCAAGAAACACCAAATGAAGAGATTACTGTAACTTCTGAAATTTGGGGCCATTTCAGAAATTGATAAATTTCTAGACATTCAAGAACGGAGAGATATTTAAATTTTTTAATGGTTTAAAAAAAAAAATATTTGTGGCCGCCCATTGAAGATTTGTACGATTTTAATACAAAGTTGAGGAGATTGACTTCAAAATACCATTTTTTTAAAAGATTGTTGGTTGACCACCACAACAACCCTACGCAATATACACACAGAGATATTCTGACAATTCGTGTGCAGTTTTGAATATAGATACACATAACTATATACACGAAAAGAGAAAGAGAGTAATTTTGGTTCAAGCCTACAAATTGGAACTGTGAATTTGACAGTTCGCCTACAATTTTGACAACGTGTTCAAAGAAAACATGCGTTCATATTTAAAAGTGAATAATACAACATTGGTCCTCAATGTATTGATGTAGTAACAAATGAGTCTCCAATTTTTATTAAAAAGGCGAATTATAGTTAAACATCAATCCCCCGAGGAGCCGTTGAAATGCCAACCAAAACATTATGTTTCCTTTTTGTGTTTTTCAATGTTATTATTTTAATTAGCATGTCCATGTGTCGGTCTTGCTATTTTTAAAATAATGCGTTAACATGTAAGCACATTTACAATGTAACCATGAATCATTTGTACAACATGAGTAAAATAAATTATGTTTAAAAAAATTCATATTCATTGCAATAAAGTAAAGATTTTGTCAAGCTGACGAACAAAGGAAAAATAGATAATATCTAAAATTTTATCGAGATGCAGAAGCTCTATTAGACAGAATGACTTAGCAAATGAATATTTCCTTCTTCTTTTTCTCAAATTCATATTTTCAATTCAAATGTAGCCGTGATTTTTTGTTTTATTTAAAAAATTAAACGACGTTTAAGAAATAGTCATTTGCTGAATCACTTTGTCCACTAACGATATTAATCAAATAGATCAAAAGCTTTTCAACTTGTAATTTTTTATTTTTTGACTTGGATGTCCATTTACTTATATTTTAAGAAAAATTAGTTCATGTTTGGCAAAGTTTAAAAATAATACTAAATTTTCATCAAATATACTTCTTATTTATACATTTTGCATGATTAATAACTACTATCCATTTTTTATTCACAAATCATGTGAAATTTGTTGTTTAAATTATAATTTAAATATTCTAATAATAAGTATATTTTTATATTGGATATTAACTATGTAACTATAATGAAAGATGGATTATCAGCTTCCTTCAGATTAAGGGGGTGTTTAAGTCACATTATTTTGGTAATAATGCATTCTTGAATAGTGTATTGATGGGAAATGTGTGGTTAAAAAATAAGGAAAATTTTTTGGTTTGCATGTAATATTATTTTATTGAAGAATGTGTGGTTGAAATGATATTAAATCACTGTTTAAGAATGTATTTTTTTGAAATAATGTGGCTCAAACAGGCTCTAATTATAAATCAATTTATTATGCATCAATACATTGGGACCAATGGTGCAGTTTTCCCTATTTCCATAATATCTCCTACTTGAAAATAACATCTTACCATAAAGAAATGTGAAAACGTTGGCTCCGGCCATATGTTCACCCCCACCTATTCGGGGGTCGGTCAGCCCCCGTTGCTCCAGCATTTCCCATTTCCTTTAGCTGCACATGGACTTTTTGGGTTCATTGTAAAATATGAATCGAGTACGCGTAGAAGTATCCCTAATAGTGTTTTAAATTAAATATAAATTGTGATTTAAATTTTTAAAATGATCAAAAATCTTTTCAATGGCAAGATGCAAAAAAAATCCAAAATTTATTTTTCGATAGAAAATAAAAATGAAAAAAAGTGTGTGTGTGTGTGTGTGTGTGTGTATCTACTTGTGAAATCCGAAAGAGATAAAGCTACCGACTCACTTGCACCTAATTTTTTAGATTTTTTTATTGGAATATAATTTGAATTTAGATCCACGAAATGTAAAATTGATTTTGGAGATGCCAATTTACACTCAATTTTGCATCACCATCGGAGATATTCTAATTTGCGTAATTTGTAGTTTTTCGAAATTATAATTACTAATATTGTCATTAAATTCAGACATAAAAAATCTCTAATATTGACTTTCTTGTTTCTTGGATATCTTTTCAGGTCCTATAACACATTTCATTATTACATTGGGACATAGGTTTTGATTATTTATTAGTTTTCAAGATATAATTGATCGAACTAGTGACCAAGCTTAACTTTTTTTTGCTTTTTGAAACATTATTTTCTGGTTAAGTTGTCATTGTGTTATGTGTGAACATTTTGGGATATTCAAACTCACGTGTCAAATCATTAGCCACGATAATAAAATAAAATAACAATTTTTAATAAAATTATCTGGAATCGACATCGAAAACCTTGAGTATGGCCGTACTGACGGACAGGTCATGTGCGAGGAATTTGATTCAAACTTTCATTTATGAAGGTCCTCCCCGTTTACGATTATAGGTTTTTTCTTGAGAGTCCAAATTCAAATTCCAAATTAAATGATGTTGGATACAAGTGATGCAAACGTAAATCTTGGAGGACTTAAACCTGCAAATCTTGTAATGGTGTCATTTGCTTAAAATGCGATCCTAAACCACGAGGACGCCTTCACTTTGATTGCTCGACGTGGACAAATGAAGGTCATTTGATTTGAGGGCTTTGAATCCTTCTATAAGCCTCTCCATTTTGTACCAAAGCAGAGAGCTAGTTTAGAAGTAAATTTTTCAAGTGAAAAAATGATTTTATGTAGTCCTTGTATGAGCCCCATTTTAAAGGGGAAAAAAAAGGAATTTTGAAATAGTGAGTTTTTTAAATGTGTGATTAAAAAATGAGAAAAAATTCAATTTACATATAAAATTATTTTATTAAAGAATATATAGTTGAAAATAAGTTTTGAAAAAATGAGGCTCAAATAAGGGCCAATAATATTCAGTTAAAAAGTAAGAAAAGATATGTGTCACATGGAATATATGAAAATATTTTTAAAAAAATAATAATAATGTTTCAAAAAATATCTTCCCAGCAGGCTCTTGAGCACCTCACAGCCTTTTTTGTTCTCATTTCTGTTACCTATGTTCTCTCATATGCAACCCTCATCTTCTTGCAGGAAAATGATTGTGTTACGAAAAAGGTGGTGTTCTATCTTAGTCCAGCAAAAAAAAATTGTGATACTGGTCTCTTGCCAACATTAGTCACAAGTTTTCAACAATGCAATTCTATTTTCATATGGAGAATAGTTGTGAGAGTAAATAAAATATTGTATTGTAATATTTTCACTAATAAAGTAATTTTCCTGTAGCTATCATTACGTTTTTTTAATAATTTCGATATCTCCATCAAAGTGAAAATCCAAAGGAGCTAACTTGATATATTCGGGTTTCATCTGATTTAAATTGAAGAAGAGACGAAGGTCAATTTACCACATAGGAAAGTGTTTCAAGTTTCAAGAAGGTATCATATTGTTGAGATTTGGTCAAATTCTTTTCTGGATCAAGCATTCTTACTTAGAAGACTTGTTTTTTTTCTTAGGTCTCTTATTTCAACGATTGACTTAGTCTGAAAAGTTCTTAAACCCCCCTGGCAAATCTAATGAATAATATTTTTTAGTGAAGATGAAGTAACTAACTAAAATTATTGGAGTGTCCTCTCCTTTATGCTTGCTCATGCATAGGCCAAATTGAGGAGTATTTCATAAGTTGACTTTCATCCCTAAACAAAGCACCAATTAGCCTTTGCTTCCTCTAATAGAGAGCCAAAATTTGCTTTCTACCAATAAATGATTGACACATCATTTTACATTAAAATATTACCTAATTTTAAGCACAAGCGATAGTGAGAAAAAAGTTGAATATGTTAATTTAAAATGATGTGTCAATCATTCATTGGATGGACAATAGATCTCAACTCCAGAGTGATATCTCCATTTATTTTCTTTCGTGCATAATTTTGGATTTTTTGACAGAAGAAATAATAATAAAAATATTAATTCTCAAGAACAATACCAAAGCTACAAATAATATCATGGTATATTTGTTCGAACATGAATTATCGACTGATATTAATTAGAAATTTCAAAGTAGTTCCAAAAGAAAAACTTGCATAAAGCAATAATTGAGTCAATTTAGAATATTTCTAGAAAATACTTTAAAATAATAAACTTCTACCAATAGCTTCAAGTATTGCTTGTCATGACAAAACTTGATATTGGAAATATCGAAGAGGAGAAGGAGAGGGAAACAAGAAATGAAAAATGAGGATCTAACACGTACTTGATGCATTGTCCTAAAACACAATATTTGCCTCCTCTAATATGCTTTTAGGATTTTTTGAAAAATATTTTAGAGGATTTAAAAGCTTTCAAGAAATAAGTACAAAAGAAAAATGATTCTTTTTAGTCGAACTTCTTGAAAACTTGAAGAAGGTTTTGAATATGTATATAAAATTGGGAAAATTTAGTGTAAAATGAATGATGATTTCTAATGTTGTTTTCTTATGTTTGGAATTGGAAATCTATCACATATTTATGAATTTCTAACATTATACCACGAAAAGGCTCTAAACCAAAAAGTATCAGAAATTCAAATAAAAAATCAACCTAACAGCTAGATTTTTTAACCATGTTATATCCATGCGTATGCATGGTAGAAGTAAATTTGCTTTTGTTTTTTGTACAAGGCCGTGCTTACATATGGTTATTTAGCATTTGCTTACGCATGGTTAAGCAGAAATAACCTAATATTGACTTCTAATTTCATTCAACATTGTCTTCCAATATCATAATTAATTTATTCACATTTCAACCCCAAAAAGGCTAGATTTTGAACAAAGAATAATTAAATATAATCCCCCAAACTGTTCAAATTTCTACATATTCATACCTAGTAACAATAATGCATAAGAATTTGATATCTTTCAATTTGAATATAATTATAGTGTAAATCTCACAAAGTATTATCGAAATTACAGGTAACATGATAGCTTTGAATTAGTCATTCCTTGTGACAGTACCGTGAAATCACACACACAAGTGTTATGTTTTTACAAATTCTTGAAACTCGCTTAATGCTATTATAACCTTACACTTATCAAATTTTTGAATTTTTAAGAAAGAAACTCTAACTCTCTATTGAGGCTGCACCACTTTGAAATTCACATAAGTGAAGTTCTTTCAATATCTTTCTTATTTTTAGAGATACTTGTATTTCATATCAAACCTTATTAAGAGTTTTAATAACTTGTCCCTCCAATCGTAACAACCAGCGCTAATTATCAAGGATAGAATTTTATAATAAGTTAATAGTGTTGAAACTTATACACTTA